TTTTCTAAAATTTTCGACATAAATTTGCTCTATTAAATCAATAAAAAAATTTACTTTAAATTTAAATTTTAAAATGTACTGAAATTTGTGACCAACATTTTTATGTAATATTTAAAAACGTACGAGTACAAATTTCAACTTTAAATTTATATACATCTCTAACTACTAGATTATTAAACTACTTATAAAAACCTTTCTATATAATAATACTAATAATCTTTATCTAAATATAATGTTTATTTATATAAATATGTTTAAAATGTGAAAGTGTATACGTTACCTCTTGACACTTTAACAACTCAACAAATTATTTAACTTGTTATAATGTAATAGTTGATAAAAGCCATGTAGTCCCGGCGTAGAATAGGCCACCCCTTCCTTTCTCGTGGGTGTCGTAAGAGTCGACTAAAAAAGTGCGAGGGATGGGCAGCAGCATCCCTCTTAAAACATCTCTAAAAGCCTAACTGCGGTTGCCAATCCGCCTGCCAAGCGTGGCAACCACTGGCTATACTCCCTTTACGGGAAAGGCTTATGTTTAGTAGTGGACAGTTAACGGCTGAAATAATAATAAAAAAAATGTAAACATGTCAACACATATCCCGATCGCAGCTAACAACCAAATAAAATGTATCCAAAAATACCTTACAAAAGAATAGCCGCTTATGACTTTTACTATAGAAATACAATCGTGTCAGAGAAGAATGGGCGCCGCAGATCGTCTAAACGCTTTACTGAAGCTGACATCTTCCCTCTGCTCTGTCGCTCACGTCTCACCTTAATTAAAAGGGGGGCGGCGACCTAAGAAACTTGCTCTTTAAAGATGGACGCATATTTTGTTGGGGAAACTTTATAAAAGTTATTGTGATTAACATCTAAACCTTTGTTGTTATTACAAACGATAGCGAAATAACAACTGATAATAAATTATTAGACAATTATGTAACAATTGTCTAGTGCTCGTAGTAGAACTTCTGCTTAGTTTGGCACTAGATGACGCTATGTATCATATCATCATTATCACCATCATCTCAGCCATTATCTGTCCACTGCTGAACATAGGCTTCTCCCACAGATTGCCATAAGGTACGGTCCTGCATCCACTAACTCCCTGCTATGTAATATGTTAAATTTGCTATTTATTTATTTTAGGTACTAAAATGACCGTTTTAATTGATTTTTAAAAAGGTCTGAGATCGATAAATGAATGAACTGATGAACATACCTTCCCCAATTCTCTGCTCAAAGATGGTCCTGAGTCACGTGCATCCATTGTTCCCAGGAATACATGTGAGATTATCACTCCATCAGGAATGACAATCGACGATGTAGCTCTTCCATTCATCTCTGTTTGCTATCGTTCCAGCTCTAAATTTCTTTTTAACCTTCGATAATAAAGACATGAATTGATTATTAGTATTCTAATTTAAAAACTATCCTATCAGTATGATTGTAATAATTTGCTTGGTTTTCTAAAGGAGAAACCCTAAAATATTTCAAATTAATTCATTCATTCGATTCTAAGTCCATTACAGTTTACTTAGTAGCGTAAGTTTTCCAATTATGAACAAGTAACTAAACATTTTCTCAGAATCTATTCAAATTCCGAATAAAACAAACCATTATCTCCTTCAAATACCAGAATATTAATAGAAAGCCATTTAGAGATAACATTATATTATTTTTAAGCAGCGTAGAAATTTTCTTACTTAATATCAGTAGCGTCTATGTACATATAATAAAATTGTAAGTAGATAATATTTGTGCATAGGAAATAGAGAAATAACTGGTTATTGTAGAAAAAAAAATAGTTCGTTAAGATATTAATCCTCATATTTATACGTTTTCATATTATTGTTTAGAGCAGGGGTTCCTAAACTTTTAAGATAACGGAACGCCCAACAAATACCTTTTATTTTATAGAACCCCATATCAAATGGTTGCAAATCAAAAACACCGTAATTTTAATAAGAACAAAAGCTTTTATTAGCAATATTTTAGAAATATAACGCTTTATAGTTTCCTTTAACTTTTAATGTGAAGAATGAAATTGTTTCACTGTATAAATAATTTCACGGAAGCATGGTGACTTTTTTACGGAACCCCTAGGTTCCGCGGAAACCACTTTAGGAATCGTTGGTTTGTAGCACTCCAACTGAAAATAATTCTTTTTCTTTAGTAATCACGTAATAATTTAGAGCTTTATAGTTGACTATAACATTAGAATTTTAAATGATTTCGAACATCTGCAAATCCATTAGGAAGTTTATAGAATTTAGTTGTATTATTAAAGAAAATTCGAGTTAAACAAGGGAGAGACTATTTAATAATTTAATTATGGATGAAAATAACCTTCCCACGTTTTTACGGGTAAGTCTACTCTGAATCAAAAGTTCTTTAAAATGTGGGCGTTCGACTCCTAAAGATAAGTACGGATCGCAACTCAATCTCCATCTATTAACAAAATCTTACTATATATAGATAGATAGATAGATAGATAGATACCCTTTATTGTTTCCTCCATAAGATACAATACAATAGTAAACTTATTATAAATACAAACAATTACAAAAAAATATTACACTAAGAAAGCACGAAACTGTTAGTTTTTTAAATAGATATATATATTGAGTTTAAGGCTGTTGTTATCCATAATATAGAAAAATAAAATAGTTCCCACAAATTTCTTAATTTACCGAGATTAGAAGTAGCATATGCACTTTTCAATCCCAAATACTACATATGCCAAATTTTTGTAAAAACTAGTTGAGAGGTTCAGACACCAAAAAGTAACAAAGTAATATACGTATCTTCATATTAGTAATATTATAATGAATCAGTCTAGCATAAACCAATAACACAAGCAGATTTACCAGTCCGTTTTCATCTCTTAAAAAATTCAAGATATATTACTAGCTGTTAATGGTAGTTACAAACAATCCTTTCCCCGAGCAAGAATTGCCTATACTTTATAAAATAATTGTGTATAATATAATATGTAAGTAATATATAAGTTGCGAAAAGCACAACTGAGTTTCTTTGATTATGTATACATTTAATATATGTAATATTAGTTACATATTAATATAACTTTTTCAAAGTTTTTTTTTTTATTTATTTAACACTTTATTGCACCAACATTACAGGATTTGTTGAAGAATTTTCTATAAGTATAGTGTAGTACAAAAGGTCTTATTGCTAAGTAATCTTTCTATCTCTTCCAGACAACCTTTGAGTAGATATTATATAAGATATATAGTATATATTAATATAACTTTAAAAAAAATATCAGCTAAAATTTCTTGCGTATTGGGCAAAAAATTCTTAAATTAAATTTATTTAATAATTTTTGTACCTATTTCACAGTACTGCTTATAATGTATTCTATAATCTAGTTTTTAGATATTACTAGAGAGTAGGTAGGTAGGTTTACATCTCGGTTCACCTAAACGACGCGACAGTACGACAATGAATAAGAGCCGTCCAGCGTTAATTAACATAATGGAAACTGGAGTAAATGTTTTTCCACCTTAATCTTTTACTTTGGCATTAACAAAGTAGCTGCTTGCCACTCACCCTACTCATAATATTAAATCTAATGAGATTGGTGGGCGTTACTCATTGTTTATATTTCAAGTAATAATATTGTTTTTGGAATATTATTATATTTTTACTTATTAATAATATTATTAATAATTTTATAATATTTTATAAAATTTTAAAGGACACTTGTTTGTTTGTTTGTCGCAAAAAATCCTTTTTCAACCAACTTCAAAAAGAAGGAGGTTTTCATTGAGGAAGATGATTTATATACATACAGAATCACATACATATTAGACCCACATAATATTTAAAAAAAAAACGTAAATAGGTACTACAATCAGTATGAAATTTGGTATACGTGCACTGTATTGGACGGAGAAGGAGCTTATAAATATATATATATAAAAAGTAGCTTATGTACTTTTTATCCCAATCACGCGAACAAAGTTGCGATTAAACGCTAGTTATAATGAAATTGAAGTTATTTATAAGAAATTTCTAAACGTAAAAGGTTGTTAATCCGTCTGTTTTTTTTTTTTTTTGTGGCTAAGTCACGTAATTACATCGACAATTTTCAATCAATTTGTATTTCATAATTATTTTTGTACTTTATAGATTTATTTTTGTTTTCTAATCGTAGGTGTAATAATTTTGCTACGATTGAAGTTGCTGTTTTTTTTATACAGCAAAAAATGGTTGTTATGAGGCTAAATCTATTTGGCGTGATACTCGTAATATGGTATTATGGAGTGGGCGTCATTGTATTGTGTGATTTTCTTGATTATTCATGTATATAAGCATCTGTCATCATGGTTTAATGAACCGCCAATTTTCTACTTCCATTATAAAAAAAAATATAGCTTATACTATTTTTTTGTAATGGATGAAAATAGAAAAATAACCCCATCTACGCTATCAGATTACGCTGACGGAGTTATAGAGAGTGAAGTCGTCTCAATTCACTATGAATTAATCACGATGGTTTCCGGGGGGAATTCCGAAAAGGTCATCCTCGCTACCGATGAAGCCGCTAATCTACATCACTAGGAATTCCTTTATCCTCTGTTATGTTATCTTACTTATATGGATAATAAAGCTGTATTTAGATTTTATTTTATTGTATTGTCTGTACTTAAGAGATATTTAAAAATATTGATATAAAAAGGGGGGTCTTAATAAAACCAATAAAAGTCATATTAATGTTTTTTTTAGAATTTTTGTGTCTATCTGTTTATGTCATATATTATATATTTATGTATATATGTTTGTTCCAACAAACTACAATAACTACCGCACCAAATTAAACGTGATTTTCACAGTTATGTCTTTGAAGACCTGACTTAAAATTTGGTGTATGTTTTCTCTTATATATCCAACTCAGAAGTTACCTACTACCAAAATCCACGCATACGAAGTTGGGGGCAAAAGTAATAAATACTAAATATTTTATTTGTTTACAGTGAGACGTGTGGCGCCACAGTTCTCTATACCACCACCTCCGCGTACTGAGGTAATGCTGGGCGGCAACCTGACTCTCAAGTGCGTCGCCTTCGGATCACCCATGCCGACTGTGAAATGGAAAAAAGGTATTTATATACAAGAACTTAATAAATCTTAATTAAAAGCATTCTTTTTTTAACGGATGAAGATGGAGTAGTGCATTTATCTATGTTAACACTATGCAATGGCGAGGCAACAGTGATGGTTAAAATCAGATCAGTTGCCCCATCGTGGCGAATGACCACGGGAAAGTCAAAATGAAGAGGTATAAAACTAACAATGGAGATAAATGTCCCCATTACTAACAATCTTTCCTCCCCCGAATAGCATCCTTTAAGAAAGAATACATATTATATTCTACGAGTAAAACTGAACAATCTTACATACATACTATTTTTTTTTTAATAAAACATAAATCAATATATGACGATGAGTTTTGAGCCCTGTATACTAATGTGGCTCATCTAGCCACCAACCTAGTATAGATGGATCGAACTTTATTATTTTTTAATCTGCTTCCGAAAAATTGTTCATATTCATTGGTAGAACGCTCCTTTAAATAAATTAAATTAAAACTAAAATATATAAAATTAACACTCATTTAAATTTTAATTTCACCATATACCTGAGGAGCATATCTGTTCAGATTTCGTTAATATTACCCACTTGAAACTAAATCATAACAACTACATTACAAAATAACAAAACCCAGCTTCTATTTTGGACTATTAAAGTTCATATAACTTTATATCAGGTCTGACCCAATGGTTGACGCCCGAGGACAACCCACCGCTTGGACTCAACACTCTAAAATTGGAAGACATCAGGGAATCTGCGAATTATACGTGCGAAGCGGCCAGTGTGCTTGGCGTCATTGAAACCACCGCCGAAGTTAAAGTTCAAAGTGAGTTATTAGTAACCTGGTACCTGGTTAGTAAACTAACTTAATTTATAGCATAAGGCAAGGCATAAAGTTCACGTGATCGTTGTAGTTAAATAATAGATATCGTCGTTCGGGTTATAGCTATCGTTTCTGTTACTCCCCCCCAATATAAGGAGAATAAATCATTTCATAATAAATGTAACTCTATTCTTATTACAAATTTAGGAATAGAATACTAACATAATACAATGTTATTATACTTTAGTACTAAGTAAACAAGTGTTCCAAATTAACTATACGTAAATATTTAAACGAAATGTTTGGAAATGGAAAGCAAGACTCAATTTCCAATACTAATTTCAAATGTCAACCCCCTAACCGCATCATTATTTACAGTGAATGATTAATTATATCATAAATAATTAAAACCGAACAGATTCTTAGTATTTCTTAATTAATCTATTAGTCATTTCGCTTGCTGTAGTAAAACGAGTTGAGGACTGAGTAGACGACTGACTGAATCAAATTACACTCATAATTTCTTCGGATAACTGTTGCAAATTTATGGTAATAACTCCTCCGAGGTGGAAAGAGGGATTTACGAAAATCAATTTGATAAATTGCGCCAAGTCGAGACATCCATTATGAATTAGTGTTATAATTCATAATTGAAAGGGTTGGAAAGTTGCGAGCCTCCTCGGAGACAAACGAATGTCAGCTTGATTAATGATTAATTATTGTTACTTTGCATTCCGTTTTCTCGATTCAATTCGGATGGGATTAAGTCCAAGTATCTAGTAGTCGGCCATGGACCTATTTAATATTGATGATGAGCACCATTAGTACAACTCACGTTACGAACATTAATAAAGATTAGATGCGAATCATCTTAATCAGTACTAAATAGAACAATTTGCCCGAATAAAACAATCCAATTACAATATTTTTGAAACTAATTAATGTAAACTGTATAGGTACATTTGAACTTTTAACAAAATTATACGAAATATTTGTTCAAGAGTACATCATAATATAAAATCTAATATTGGTAGTATAATATAATAATTGTATAAATATAATACACGGATCAATATAACTCGTGCTTGCTTCGAAATGTTTCAATCACTCGATAATTATTGGAAATTGATTTTCATATTGTAAATTTCTATTTTATGGGTATTGAGAGGATGTCAGGTACATCCTCTCAATCCTCATCATCCTCTTTATCTGATTAATTTGCAGTGTCGTATATAACAATAAATTTTATAATAGTCCAGTGTGAATCGTAGCAATCGACTCAAAATTCGAGACCAATTTGAACGTGACTTGCTTGATCGCTAATTTTATGCTGCTGAAAATCGGCAACCAAAAACAAGCTGTTGTGCTTGCCTTTGCCTTCTCTGTACTAGTATACAAGCGCATAGAAAAAAAAAAACAAAACTCATGAAATTATTTATAATAGGAATTGTTGAAAATTAATAATGCTGTCACCCTTAGCGCTGCCCGGCCCACCCACTGAAGTCAGAGCCTCTGAGATCACAGCAACCACCGTACGGCTAGCTTGGACCTACAGCGGGCCAGAAGAGCCCCATTACTACGTTATACAATACAAACCAAAATACGCTAATCAGGTAATCTTGGTACTCATTTACTAAACTACAATATCTTATTGCCACAAAATCATATGGATTTATAAGAGTTTGTTTCACATTAAAAATTTAACATTGACTTTAAATCTGAAATAAAAATTTTGTAATATACTCCTAGAATATTGATGCAGTCTGACCATGTGGTTGTTCTCTAGGCATTCAGCGAGATATCAGGAGTGATCACACAATACTATTCGGTGACAAACTTATCACCGTACACCGAGTATGAAATGTATGTGATCGCGGTGAACAACATAGGCCGAGGACCTCCTTCCGCCCCGGCTGTCATCACCACTGGTGAAACCGGTATGTATTTATTATTTAAATATCCACTATCCTTACCTCTATCATCATCTTCATTGATACTGATTTAATTATGAATATATATTTGTTTGTTGCGTTTTAATATACTTCAAAGAAATCAATTCTCCTGATTTACATTCATAAGACTGGTCAGTTTTATCTACAGATGTAATCTTGTCCAACCATTGCGATTCTGAATTCAGTTACCATTATTAATGGTATATTAAACACTTTGCACTTCAATTTAGTGAGGTGGAGAATACCTATATTGAAATTAAAATAAATTGAATAATTTAATCTTAAATGGTTTCCATAATTCAGACATAGTTAAGCCCATTTCATTTTCCCATTAAGTAATATTTAACTGTTATTTAATTACCTACCGTTGTTATCAGAAGACTTATAATAAAATAACTTATATAAAGAAGAATTTTGAAAAGTAGTGTCTCCTTAATATGTTATAAACATCTTATAAGCACTCACTACTTATAAAAAAAATATTAGAAACGAACATAAATTATTTGTACTCAACACACGGTTCTTGATACATTTTTATTCATGTATTATGATATAGCATCATATATAAATATAAAGTTTAATATATTTTAATTGATTACCCGTGTTTAGGATTCCTTCGTAAAAACTAATCTTAAAATGTTTCAATTATTTTTAAAGGAAATATCAATTTTAAGTCTTAGATTTTATTAAATTAATGACATCGTTAAATCTAAATATGTTTTTGCAAACATGAGTTTACTGTGAAATTCTCGATTTGATAATAATATTTCAAGAAATGGTAATTCGTAAATAGATATCGATCATCATGAAATTCCATTGTTATATCTTCTGAACATTCGTCCATTTGCTTATTTTTGCGTTTCAGTTGAATCGTATCGCTTTACTATTTTGTAACATCAGACGTTGAGTTTATTGCTTTCATTCCGTAAATAGATAGTTTTGGTTTATTGCGCTAATTGAGTTTTAAGGTTCTTTTGACCGTCTTTACATGCCTACGTTAACGCGACGTACTACTCTCGCCGCGGCTTCATGTAAGTTTCGCTTTACATCGTTTTTTATTCCATTCTTATATTTCGTTTGTTTTGCACATATATTTTTGTTATCAGTAGATTGTAGAAGTAGTGCGTAAATTTATTATTTATTTTTATCATGCACCATTTCGTTAAAATTATCAGTGTTAGGTTTAAGCGTTAAAAGAATTATTGTCGAATGTTGTACACTTAATTTCTCCGTGTACTGCACCGTTTATTTTATACGTTTATATGATTACTTTGATTCTATTAATTAACACACTCTTTTTCCTTGCTCACTTGCAGTGGATTCCTTGTATGGAGGTGCCAGTAAGTATACATGATACGTTGTTGCAACTTCTAGTTTATTTTGGGTGTTATTAATCAACAGGGTGATTAAAACAGCATGATTGTTGGCTATTAATTTGTAATATTTTAATATTTTGGGTCTATTTTCTTTTGTTTGCAATTTTATAACTGTTAAATTTGGAATTGATGTTAATATCTCTGAATATGTATATTAATGTGATATCACAAAAGTTGCTTGTGTTCCTAATAATATTCTTTTACATTTCTTTCTCGTCAAGTAGCTATCAAGTCTAATTTACCGCAGCAAAATATTAAATTTGACTTCCTCGCTTCAGTTTTAAATTACCGGACGCGATGTCACGAGACAGACAAAAACTCTGATGAGTTGGTAATGAAAACGTTGCTGTATCAAAATTGTTCGCAGGTTTTTTTATGTATTCTTTACATTTCTAATAAAGGAAAAGTTTGGACCGGCGCTACGACCCGAATTCAGCTCCCAACGAGATTATGGCGTTTTAATATTGCACAGTCCTGAGAAACTTTTATTGTTTCGTCCTTTCCGAGTATTATAAACAGAAAAGAGATTTTTCATTGAGTAACGCCCCTTTTTCGTGTTAGAAGCTACGATTACAAATCCTATTAAGATTTCTATTGTGCTCGGACGTTTATTGTCACATTTTTATTTTCATTTTCCTACATAATTGTGATGAGCGGAGTCGCGTCTTAATTTGATATTGCGCTGTTTTCGCGTTATTACTTTTATGGTAACAAGATTTAAATTATTATATGTTTGTGATAAAGACTTGTAAAATATATTAAAGCCATTTGAATAAACCTTGTTGCCGTTTTTTAAACGTATAAAATTATTGTTTATGGTATTTGTAATAAACGTGTAAGAACTAGTTAGGTGGAAAGATATCTAATAGGTGATTAAAGAATAGCTAAGGATTTATGTTTAACAAAACAATATTGTAGCTCTGCGTCGTCTATGTAGTATCTTATATCTTTCATAGATTTTTTTTGTTTTGCTCAAATAATATATTGCTTTTCTTCGGGTGTTATATATTCTCTGTTTATGTTTACATTGCTAGCATGCTACAGTAGCTTCGGACAGTGATGTTATGTAATTAAGTATGTAGTTAGAAAATGGGTCTTTTTATTAATTGTTGGCTAAATAATTATGATTAAGAAAACAGTATCACCATAGTCTCGAAATAGACCAGAGGGAGACTGTACATAAGTTGTTTGCTTAGCCACCTCTGTCCCATTCATGTTTCTACCATGAAGCAGTTGTGTTTGCATGGCTGTGTTTCGGTTTAAAGGATCGGATATGACAGTGAATTTACAAGGTTCAGAGTAATAACAGCTGAGTCTTCAGGAATGGCAACGCAGGAGGGGTATCATGGGCGAAACAGTATATTCTGTTACGAGTTTGTCCATGGTACTACTCATGTCTATAGACGACGCTTACCACTTTCCATCAGGTGGGCCGTCAGCTTGTTTGCCATTCTAAGTTGCATAAAAAAATGACAAATAGATGGGCTATTGCCGTATAACATTCCAATTGTGGTCAATATAACATTTAACTTGTCCACACTTCATTGACATATAAATAATCTACACACACTGTACATACATTCAATTATTATGTACAAATAGAATTTCGTAAAAAATATATAATTGATGTGACTCAAGATTACTGAGGTATTTCAATTTGGAGTTAATAAACGACAACCTACCAGGATTTCTCACATTGAAGGGGTTTTAAAACCATTACAAGTACATACAAATAGTGTATCATGTCTACATAATAATAGAAATAATCATTATTTAGCGACTAAACATAAATATTTTTAAATAAAAAAAAATTGTACTGGCCGATTGTATTAAAATGTATTGTTATTCCTTCCAGAACCTGGCTCCGCGCCTAGAAACGTCCTGGTCAGACCCCTCAGCTCAAGCACCATGGTCATACAATGGGACGAACCAGAGACGCCTAATGGGCAAGTTACGGTAAGTAGTAAAATTAAACAAAATTTTTATTAATTTTGTTAATTTTGTTATTATATGTATTATTGTTATTATTATCTATATAATGATTCAAAATACAGTGATTACATTATACAGTGAGAATGTTGTGCAGTATTATGTTTCCTGGATTTAGAATGTGTATTTTACTCATAACAGTCTGTATATATTTTTTCCAATTCTTTGCGTAATGTTTTACTTAATCAATTCTTGTATAGAAATATAGCATTGTTTTTTCGACCAACTTTGAAGAGAAAAATTTTCTCATATCGGTTGTATTTTTTTATTTTTGTTACCTTATAATTCTGTTATTTCTAAACCGATTTAGAAAATTCTATTTTTTATATGAAAAGATACAGATTTAATACTTAGTTATTTTAGGTTTAGATCACAATAACTAGTTTAGTCACAATTGAAGTCGAGTTTTTGTGAGGCACAATCTTTAATTATTCATATTATACTCGTATATATTTACATAATATCTATTACTATTGAATCTGCCTACCCCAATGAAAGACAAACGTGAAGTATATATGCAACTATATTACATTTCACTATGCACGTATTTTGTTAGATATTTATTACATTTACTAGAATTACCCATTAAAATATTTATATTTCTATTAATAATAAAACTGTATTATATTAACTTTTCTTTACAGGGGTATAAAATCTTTTATACCACAGACCCCTCGCAACCATTACAATCTTGGCATTCGCAAATGGTAAGCGTATTTTTTTTTAATAATATGATCCTTTCTAGTTCTTTCTAATATTTGTTTGTGTTAGTCATTGTATCTATTAAAATTAGTTATATCTTGTGAAATTCAACTTTTATTTGAAAAAAATAATAGCTGAGTTACTTGCCACTGATTCAGCAAAAAACGATTATTTAAAAAATATTTATTAAGTTTACTTGAATAAAAAGATCCTATATATTTCTTTATAAATGTAAAGGTATGTTGGTTCATTTACTTGATCAATTTCTATCAATTTAGTGCCATGAACTATACAAAAAAAAATATTCAGAATATATTATATTTGTAAACGTCGAGTCGTTTTATTTAAAACCTATTTCAAGTTTAATAAAAAGAAACTATTCCCGTTCTTTACGTACAGATGGACAACAGTCACCTGACGACGATTAGTGAGCTGACGCCACACACGGTGTACACGATACGCGTGCAAGCGTTCACCTCCGTGGGCCCGGGGCCTATATCTGCGCCTGTGCAAGTAAAAACTCAACAAGGTCAGTTGTATTCCTGGCAACTAATAATAGCTAGTTCCCATTTTAATTCCTAGTAAGAGCTAGTTTTCATTTTAATTCTTAAATAAAGTAAAAAAAAAATCCTACATTTTTTTTACTTTTTCGCTTTAAGCATATTTACATTTATGTGACAGTGAACTTATAATATAGGTTTTTTTTATGCAGTTTAAAATGGCAAACAAGCCATCAGCCCACCTGATGGAAAGTGGTAACCGTCGCCTATAAACATGACATGATTTTTATCCCAGTCATGCAAAGTCACCAGTAAAATAGTTTTTAGATTCATTCAATAAAAAGCATCTACTATTAAAATATTTTTTTGTTATTTTCATTTTTATTTGTTACTATAAAGTTTGCCTGCTTAAAATATGCCGTTATTAACAATAAGTACCGCTGAAGGAAGATACAATTGTTTACAACGCCATCTAGCGATATTAGTTCATATATCAGTACTAAAAAATATCAAAAAAAAATCATTCATTTATTCATCGAATTTAATATCTCCTTTTTCGTATTACTTAAAATAATATACATAACGAGATTGTAACATGTAGAATAAAACTGGACTTATGGTTAATATGTATGCGTGTCACACATGAAGTCAAATATTGTTTTTTTTTTTATTTCATAATATAGGTGTACCATCTCAGCCGTCGAATCTCGTAATGGTGGAAGCTGGAGAGACATCAGTGACACTGTCGTGGCGACGTCCCACACACGCCGGAGACAACATCGTCTCCTACGAGCTCTATTGGAATGACACCTATGCGAAAGAACATCATCGGAAGTAAAGAAATTTCTATACTATATTATAATATATTACGTAATTAAAAATAAAAAAAAACCTTTATATATTTACCTTGCATATAAATTTATTCTTAGTGATTAGTAAAGAAATCATACAATAGTCTCTAGTAGCCTGCTAAGTTTTAACTAGGTTTACTTAATTAAATAATGTTGTATGTACGTACTTTGTCCTACTTTGTCCATGTAATTAAATTAGAACAAATAAAATAGACAGTTTGTAAAATTACTGTAGCGGTACAACGCAGCTAGTCCTTGGTGTAACTGTTATTGTATTAATTACGTAACGTTGTGTTTATGCGGCGAATCAAATAGACAGTTTGTAGAGTGACTACAGCGGTACCACGTATCTGGCCCCTGGCATAGCTGTTGTGTTAATTTCATACTTTTATATTTATGCAACGAATAAAAAAGGCAGAGTTTGTAAAGTTACTACAGCGGTACAAAGCAGTTGGCCCCTGGCGTAGCTGTTAATTATGTAGCGAGTTACTACAGCGATACAACATATCTAGTTCCAGGCGTAGCCGTTGCATTAATTTCATACCGTAGTGTTTATGCGACGAATGAAATAGGCAGAGTTTGTAAAGTTACTAAACCGGTACAACGTGGCTGGCCTCTGGCGTAATTGTTGTATTAATTTTGTACCGTCGTGTTTATGTAGTAAATCAAATATACAGAGTTTGTAGAGTATATACTATAGGAGTACAACATAACTAATCCTTGACGTAGCTGTTGTGTCAATTAAATAGCATTGTGTTTATGCAGCGAATCAAATAGATAGTTTGTAGAGTTACTACAGCAATACGACATAGTTAGTCCCGTTAATCTCATACCGTAGTGTTTATGCAACGAATCAAATAGATAGAGTTTATAAAGTTACTAAAGCGGTACGACGTAGATGGTCCCTGGCGTAATTGTTGTGTTAGTTTTCTACCGTTGTGTTTTTGTGGCAAATCAAATATACAGACTTTGAAGAGTTACTACAACGGTACAACATAGCTAGCTCATGGCGTAGTCATTGTGTTAATTTAATATTGTTATGTTTATGCGTCGAACCAAATAGGCAAAATGTATAAAGTTCCTACTGCGGTACAACGTAACTGGCTCCCCGCGTAACTGTTGTGTTAGTGTCGTAGCGTTGTATTTACACGACAAGTCAAGTAGGCAAAATCTTTAGATTTGCTACAATGCTACGGCGTAGCTTGTTGTTCCAAAAGCAACTATTTTTTTTATTGATCTAGGTATTATCTTGCGGAAGTCCATATCACTGGTTATTTGATTACAATTATTTTGATTAACTCCGCTATCATTAGTATACGTGTGACTGCCAATACACAAAAAATCTCCACTACTATTACTATCACAAGTTCCACAGCATTTCATTTTATCCATCAATTTCCGACCACCATTACGACTACGTACGTTTTGTTTGATTACTATTAATAACTACTTTGATTTATAACCTTATTTATACGCGACAAATCAATTAGCCAGCGTCTGTATAAACTCTATCATTCAGCATAGCTGACGTAGCAAATGCATTTTATAATACGAGTGAAGCGTTTTGCAGCGTGTCATAAGTTATTTTTATGCGGCAAATGGCAAATCAAAAAGAAGATCTTCCGCATTACTCGTTATATCGTATTCGACTACTGGAATATTATTTTGCAACATTACATTAAAACAGCGAACTGTATGGGCAGAGTATTGACAGTATTGGTTATTTACAAAACTATACGCCACGAACTAGCAGTAACTATTCTCCACAGCTACTGTAACTGCCATTCTAAGTTGCATTAAAAAGTATACATTTTTAGAAACTCAATGTAATGTTTATAATTAATAAATTTTTCCATACAGGCGGATACCGATAACAGAATCGTATACACTCAACGGTTTATATCCGAACACATTGTACTACATTTGGCTGGCGGCGCGGTCACAGCGCGGCGAGGGGGCGACCACACCGCCGATAGCAGTCCGAACCAAACAATATGGTATGTGGTACAGCGGTATGGTTGAATTTGACGTCACGTGAGAGTGTGTGTGTTATAGATAGTGATTGGGAAGGCGCATGGTGATCATTCATCGTAACTGATATTCGTCATGTTAACAAATTCTACAAAGATTCCATTTTTTTTTTATTTCATCCGTAAAAACATTGGGGATAAAATACACAATTGTTCATTAAAATTTCTGCCGTTTTTTTGCAGAGGGGATGTAATACGATTACTCGTCGTTTTTAGCCGATTTGTGTTTGATACAAAAAATTATGTATAAAAGTATAATGTAAAGATATATTTTTAAAATATTCATTATTTTTTATTTTAAAAATAATTTTACAATTTTTTTTTATTGTTTACAATATTATTGAATTTAAGAATAGTTGCTATATTAACACATTTACTTTACATAAAGGCATTATTATATTTATACAGTGACTGAACAAATAATTTTATTGACACAATTATATTTTATATATTATTCTTTAAGTGGTGAAATATTCATAAACAAATAATTAATACTACAACATATAGTATCGCTATTCATGGAGTCAGCTATCCATTCTCTCTCCATAATTTGAATATTAAACTTCCATATAAATTACATAAAATACTCCAAGACATTGTGAAAATGTATCTCTTAAATTGAATATGTCTCATAAGGTTATTTTACAAGATAGAAAAATGAGACCACATTGTATTTCTACTCTTGTCGTAGCACTGAGAGCTAATATTATCATGTAAGAATTAGTAATATTATAAAAAAAAAAAATAATCCCCTAAAAATATACACACGGTAAGTTATATTCTAATTTTTATTTTAAAATTTATGATATAGCTTCCTATCTATTTTCTTTAATGTTTTTTTTTTTATATTTTTGGTCCTCTTTCTACCGTCCACTTCTATTACATTTAATTTATTCACGTTTTTCCTCATTTCTTTTTTAAAATTAATTATTATTTTGCTTATATATCATAATGATTTCCTGATGCTTTACATTATTTTTGCTTTATCTAATTTCATCGTTGTTTTTATTTCGCTTATTAAATCGGTAAAGGCAAACAATACGAGCGCTAGTATTATGTTTATGTAACGATACCTATAAAACTTAAATTCACAGAACAACAATTAACGGAAATTATAATAATTTTATTTCTTTATAAAACTATTTTTAATGATTACTAAATACTAAGCCTATATAATATCAGCTCTTTTGTTTAGTTGAAATAAAAACTGGTAATCTAAGTTTATAAAAATACTGCTAGGCTGCGCCGTGGCGGCCTGGTAACTCTTGAAACCAGTGGGCGACAGTCTCACTTAAGTAGTAGTAATAATAGTATTACTAAAATTGATAATGTTCTTAAATTGATGCCAAAATTAAATTATTTTCTATTTTCTTCTTCATTTAATAATTGACCTTATTTAATAAACCTTTTATTTAATTTTTATTTTAAGTGTGCAAATGATGAAATTTAAATTTAAAAGACAAACTAGTATATATGAGCACCACAGCGCCTTCCAAATCGTTCCCTTGAAAGTGTGTGAAAGTATGACACCTGTTATGGTCGTCCAGGTAAACCCTAATGTAATATTTCACAATATAAGCACCTGCCCGGCACGCTGCCAGTAATTCAGCACAAGCACACGTTTTATATATCACAATATTATGTGTTTGTAATCGTACATTTGTCGAAACGGCACAGTGTATGCATACAGTATATCAAGTACATAAATAAATATTGGTGACATGTGATTTTTTCTACATTAAATGCGTACACGGTGCCTTAGTAGTAGCTTTATGTTGTTCGTAGGTCAGTTCTAAATAAGAGGCCAATGCCTCGATCGTCTTTCTTTTATTTAATTTAATAATACTACAAATGACACTAACCACTGGGAGAAAAAAATAAAAGAATATCGATTACTGAATAAATGTTAATGCCATTTACATTCATACAAAGTTGCTCGTGTCATTATGTAAAACATAATCATCACAATTTTCTTCCAACAGGAGAAAGTGTGACGGATGAGAATAGAGACGTATGGGCGAGCGGATCTTACATTCACATCACACTTATGCATGCTAAACACTTTATTTTGACGACTCGCGTCGTTGTTTCATTTATGTTCTGGCACAGTTACTTTTTTTTTCCAATCGCATTCAGTGATTGCATCGGTTAGGTCGGTTGTGGGTCTAACAAGGCGCGTAGTGCGCGAGCGCCGCGCGCCTATTTCAGTTTCAGGTGCACACGCCCGGTTCCGATCTGTCGGATCCGTTCCGTAATATTTTTCTTACCGTTGAGCTTGTTTAGTTCCTGGAGCGCCCCCTATGAATGTCACCGCGGTGCCGATATCACCTACTGCGATTCGCGTGTCTTGGCAACCGCCACCCGCCGAACGGGCCAACGGAAGAATCGCATATTACAAGCTGCTTTGCGTGGAATCAGAGAGAGGGGACTCTGAAGCGACTGTCGTGAAATTGAACCAAACATCTTTCACGTTGGACGAGTTGCGCCGTTGGACCGAGTACCGTATTTGGGTGCTCGCAGGCACCAGTGTCGGCGACGGACCCGCCTCGTACCCAGTCACCGTGCGCACACACGAAGACGGTACGTATCCTATTTATTCATTGGCCACTTTGAAATTTGTAACATTTACTCCTATGTCTCAATTTTATGATAAATACTGTTAAACATTGTTTTATTCATAAAAACTAAAGCTCCAACAAACCTATGTTATTTATTTAGAAAGCATTAGCCTTATGTCATTTTCTTTATAAATTAAGAATTTACCCTAAAAAAGACAACAGTTCAACAACTAAAATAGGTTTATTAGATGACTGGTTAGTTTTTATTATTAATAAATTAGTAAATTCTTTGAAATTTTATAATATATTCAGAACACTCTTGTCCTATTTGAAAATTTCTATCATAAAGTTATAATATCATAAAGTTGAAGACTCCAAGCCAAAGAAATACTTACTAACAATGGATCAATATTTTAATCAAAATTGCAACTAAATTAAATACTTTGGCAATGTAATATCAGAGGTTATACTTCTAATAATAGAGAGAATTTTTTTTTTTAAATATTGAACAAAATTTTTTTTTAATTTTTAACAATATTTACATATTCTGATGTTACATTTTATTCTTCTGCATATATTGACAACATAATAAATAATTAATAACTTTGGTCTTTAAGGTTTCTGGACTGATGATACGTACGTTCAAACAATATCTGTGAAAACATTCATATTACATATTTACAATTATTTAAATTCATAAATCAATTGCATAGTTCACGCAAACAATAATATACGAGTAAAATGAATGATTTTACATCAATTATTAGTTTCAGTCGAAATTGTAACTAGTTGCTCTTAATAAGCATTTTCATTATTAAAATTCCTAAAAGTTATTGAATTAGTATCAATCTCGACTAAACTCTAACCAAATATAAACAAATGTTTTCTATTTATATTGGTGGTGGATTTAAAACATTATCATGTATTATATGCCATATATACATAATAGTTCATAATGTGACATTTACAGCTTCCTTATAGCGCTGAGTTACTATCAAAATTACTAATGTCATTTTTTTCTTTTGTTCCCTTTTGTGAGCATATAGCAGGATTCTATTCAAGGAGGTTAATTCTCGTAACACAGTTTTACTATGCTTGCCGATAAACCATGTACTTATATTTATATCATATCACAGATGGTCATTTTGGTTTTATCACTGTATTTTCGTCGCTATGTACAGCGATATAGAGTTGATATTTCCACTCACTGTCACATGTAATGATTTCTTTTTGGTGACGGGTCTCATTGACCCGCTACCGGTCAACTCGCTAAGATGGCACTCACTGAAATGCAAATTTTATATTGCACCTGATAAGTATAGTAACGACGGCACCTGTATATTAATTTTGGCGCACAGTTGTTGAGTATTTAGCAATGAACACAATTTTGCATGCTTTCTTTAAAGACACAGCACCATTTTTCGTTCAGTTAATTTCACTGGGCACCAGATAGGTTCACGTGTTGCTATACGCACTCTATTTGTTTCATTGACATGTTTATACCAGTAGGATTGCGTATAGCAAAGTTTGCACTTTTAGGAAGCACTCAGCACAACTAGCGACGACACAAGGTGAGAGAGCGAGTGCGTGACACATCCAAGGCAATAACCGTTTGAGTTGCTCACATTCATAAGCAGCATAAATCATTATAGCGGCTCATGAGTTGGGAGAGTTCACTTGGTTATGCAGCTCAACACGCACCAGGGCCCGAGCGCCGCATTTGAATACCAATACCGTCCCCACACGACACGCGCGCATGCTACTTACTATACTACTCACAACTACTTCTCCACTCACTGTACTATCTCACTACTATCTACTATTAGCGGGAAGGCTGTGGACGCGAAATCCCGAGGATCCTACAAAATTTGCACCTGACACCATTCGGTCCACTGAAGGATCCAAAGGATTACATCCGCGACGCTCTTCGCCTGTATATACTCCGACTGCTCAGCTCGGTTACTACTAGACTTCGCGCTACCTCTCTTTATCTCTATATCTCTATCTATCTCACTTGCTCTTGAGCTACAACTTCTTGCCAGTAGCAATTTCTCTCTCGCCTTTCTTCTTTCTTCTGTATTCTCTATCAAACTATCGTCGTGCATGCACACTAGATATTGTGACATATTATACAGAATACTATTTGCCTAACGTTCGCTATTGCCAATAACAACGTACGGGCGGGACTCAAAGAACGCTAAGAAGTATACCAGCAACGTCACTCCTGTAAAGTATACCCTTGGTTCCATACTGAACAGTTTATAGAAGATCACAGCCAGTGGACAATGACACTCAGACACTGTCACTAACATCACTGAAGACAACACAAGGTACGAAAGAATACACACACTGAAGTAATATCGGCGCACTATGATACTTACACAAATGAAGCACACACACATAGACTGGCGCCGTCGCGTTAATCAATACATGTGCGTGTGAGTGTCTTCTCTGCGCCGAAACGAGGGGCAAGAAATGGCATTCTAATTATGTCTTGTCTTTTTCTGTTAAATTAAAATACAAGGAAATATTTTTGCTTTGAAATCGAAATAGACATGTACATGACATTCTTCAAATACATGTCGTTCTGTTTACAAAGTCATGAACAGAAAAAGGCAATGCATACTGACATAGACCAAGGTGGAAGTTCTAAGAGATTTTTTTGAAAGCGCCTCTTAAACAACTCAAAATATATGAAGAAATAATATAAAAGTACCTCCATTTCGCCGACAAGCGTTCTACTCGTAATCTCTCACTTAGTAGTTCCGTTCGCCCTGCAATGTTCGCACAATTTGTCTTAAATGTATTTGAATGCGTTTTTCTCTTTTTTCTCTCGTCACTGACTTTGTATGGGCCGCTGGTAACCCGTACAGCTATAAGGAGTGAGTACAAATTACTTTAGTGCTTGTATTGATGTGCGTTTGTGCTTGTGCCTCAGCTTTAAGTAGTAAATAATCATTCTTCCTAGTAATATAATTTAATGACTTTAAAACAAACTGCAAGCGGTAACCTGTTGAGGACGCATGGATTCAAACTTTTAAGAGACTTGGTGTATCCTTCTCCATTATTCGAGTGGTTTGATGCTCCCAAGTCTAATAATACTCCACTGCATGATCCCTTGCAGTGTGTGAATACAAGATCATAGTCATAGTAATGCTGCTTTTGGATAACTATAGATATAATAACTTACTAAATGTTAACTCTTTGTAAACGCTTGACTTGAATTTTAGTTGTTCTAAACGATGTGGATTGGAAGGTAATGGATTTTAATTGGTTATGGTGATGTGAAAGGGCGTAATGATAATGTCTCAGTGTGTGTTGGTATTCAAATGCCCGATCGAGATGCTGAGAGGCGTGTGTAGACACTCGCCACTGACCAAAATACTCTATCAGCATTACCGACGGCGTTTACCGACCGCACATGTCAACTTTAAAAATTTTCATACGAAATTTTGCAGCGCTTATCAAAAAGCCTTTGACGCCGACGCTTTAATTCCAATTTAGGCCCTCAAAGTATGCTTAGGTAGTTTTTTCTCTAGCACGCTCCCGTAGATGCTGATAGGGCATTTTAGGTCTTTATAAAAACAAGTCGGGGAAATATATCTCACATTTTTATATATATATTTACAGTGCCTGGGGAACCACAAGACGTTAAAGTCAGCGCGATCAACTCCACATCTATACACGTAACATGGAAGCCGCCTCAGGAGAAAGAGAAAAATGGAATTATTCGAGGTTATCATGTACACGTACAGGAAATTAGAGAAGAGGTATGTGTCATTTTTTAAGCAATTGTCGATTTTACTAATAATAACTTTTAATCTGATACGAGTCCATTACTATTTTATGTAAACACCTATCTCACTCTACAGGGTAAAAATTTTCTCAACGATCCAATGCGTTTCAATGTTATGGATGAAACTACGCTTGAGTTAAATATATCTGGTCTCCAACCTGATACCAGATATAATGTTCAAGTAGCTGCTCTAACAAGAAAGGGAGACGGAGACCGAAGTACGCCAGTGTCAGTAAAGACACCTGGCGGTGTGCCAAACAGGCCTACTGTCAACCTTAAGTGAGTAAAAACTTTTAGATAATATTGATCATATAAAAATTGTACAAACATATTTACTAATCTGTAATATTTTTTAGGGTATTGGAGCGAGAACCTATTGTATCAATAGAAATAGAATGGGCAAGACCCTCACAAACCTATGGAGACTTGCTTGGTTATAGACTGAGGTACGGTATTAAAGACCATCCTCTTGAAGAAGAAAATTTTAGTACTAAAATAACTTCACATAAAATAACAGATTTGGAAAGAGGCGTTCAATATGAATTTAGAGTTGCTGGTAAGAACCATATTGGTATTGGTCAAGAAAATATCAAATATTGGCTTACGCCTGAAGGAGCACCCAAAGGACCGCCAACTAATGTTACTTACCACTTTCAAACCCCAGACATAATTAGTGTTACTTGGGAACCACCAATTAGAGCAGATAGAAGTGGTCAAATAAAAAAATATGACGTCCAATTTTATAAAAAAGGTGATCAATCTTCACTTATTGAGAAGAAAACAGAATTAACTAAAGCAGTATTTACTGCGCTAGAAGAGGATGCACACTACGTTTTTAAAGTTAGGGCTTACACAGATCAAGGTGTGGGACCTTATAGTAAAGATGTTACGGCTCATACTGAGAGGGACATCGGTAGAGCGCCTATGTCAGTAAAAGCTGTTGCAACTTCAGAATCTAGTGTTGAAGTTTGGTGGGAAACATTCCGCTCAAGAAAGAAAATTATCGGCTATGTTATTTTTTACACTATGACACCAGTAGATGATCTTGATGAATGGAAACAGAAAAGTGTTCATGTAACGCACTCTGCTGATTTAGAAAATTTAGAGAAATTCGCTGAATATACCATCGCCGTAGCAGCTAAAACAGCAGATGGTCTTGGTAGATTATCTGAAAAGGTTACTGTTAAAGTGAAACCAGAAGAAGTGCCTTTGAACTTAAGGGCTCAAGATGTGTCCACTCACTCCATGACGCTTTCATGGTCATCCCCGTTACGCTTAAATCCCGTTAGTTATAGGATTTCATACAACGCTATTAAAGAATTTGTGGATTCGCTAGGTATGACACAAACACAAGAAATACCCAAAAGAGAAATAATAGTAAAACATGACAGAACATCATATTCAATTAATGATCTATCTCCATTTACGACATATAATGTAAATGTAAGCGCCATTCCTAATGATGATTCATACAGACCTCCAACAAAGATTACTGTTACGACACAAATGGCAGCACCAAAACCTATGGTTAAACCGGACTTCTATGGTGTTGTTGAAAATGAAATATTGGTTATTCTACCTCAAGCTTCCGAAGAATATGGTCCTATTTCACATTATTATCTAGTTGTAGTACCAGACGATAAAGCGCATAATCATAAGAATCCAGATCAGTTTCTAACTGATGACCTGATTAAAAGTAACGTCAGAACTGATGACGAAAATGCTCCATATATAGCTGCCAAATTCTTGCAAAGAAATATTTTATACACTTTCCATCTTGGAAATGATGACATGTACGAAGGCTTTCTAAATAGAAAATTAAATCCAAGTAAGAAATATAGAGTGTTTGTGAGAGCTGTTGTAGATACACCTCAGAAACATCTTTATACATCCAGTCCATTTTCGGAATATTTGTCCCTTGATATGCGTGAAGCTCCTCCTGGAGAAGAACCTAGTCGACCTGACCCTAAAGATATTAATGGAGATCCGGAGATTAGAATCGAGGAAAATAAGAAAGAAGCTGGTATGGTGTGGGTCATTGGGCCCATAATAGCTGCTTTGATGCTTTCTTTATGTTTAGTTCTCTTATTTATCCTAAAAAGAAGAAGGCAGCCATGCAAAACACCAGATCAAGCAGCTGTAACGCGACCTTTGATGTCATCTGATGTAGGATATGGAGCACCATCTGACCCCGTGGAAATGAGACGTTTGAATTTCCAAACCCCAGCTATGATCTCTCATCCTCCTATTCCAATCTCGGAACTTGCTGAACATATCGAAAGGCTAAAGGCTAATGACAATCTTAAATTTTCTCAAGAATATGAAAGTATAGAGCCAGGCCAGCAATTTACTTGGGATCATTCTAATATGGAAGTTAATAAACCTAAAAATAGATATGCCAATGTCATCGCCTATGATCACAGTCGTGTTATCCTGCAACCCATTGATGGAATACTTGGAAGCGACTACATTAATGCTAACTACTGTGATGGTTATCGTAAACATAATGCCTACGTTGCAACTCAAGGTCCGCTTCAAGAAACTTTTACTGATTTCTGGAGAATGTGTTGGGAACTCAGGACCTCTACAATTGTAATGATGACGAAATTAGAAGAAAGAACGCGAATCAAATGTGATCAGTATTGGCCTAGCCGCGGTAGCGAAACGTATGGCATGATGACTGTAACCATCGCGGAAGTTCAGGAACTTGCTACTTATTGCATACGAACGTTCCAAGTTACGAAAAACGGAGGTGCTGAGCGAAGGGAAATTAAACAACTTCAGTTTACAGCTTGGCCTGACCATGGAGTTCCAGATCATCCTGCTCCTTTCTTGCAATTCTTACGACGTGTACGAGCCTTAAATCCACCCGATGCCGGACCTCTAGTTGTTCACTGTTCCGCTGGTGTTGGTCGAACAGGCTGCTTCATTGTGATCGATTCTATGTTAGAAAGAGCTAGACATGAACGCACAGTTGATATTTATGGTCATGTAACTTGCCTACGCGCTCAACGCAACTACATGGTGCAAACTGAAGACCAATACATTTTCATCCACGACGCTTTACTTGAGGCTGTTGTCTGTGGAGATACTGAGGTGCCAGCTCGTAATCTGCACGCTCATATCCAAAAGCTTATGCGCATTGACTCAATTGAAAATATTACTGGTATGGAATTGGAATTTAAGAAGTTGGCCAACATGAAAGCTGACTCCAGCCGATTTGTATCGGCCAGTCTCCCATGTAATAAACACAAAAATAGACTGGTTCACATTTTGCCATATGAATCTAGCCGTGTTTGTTTGACACCCCGTGATGGTTCAGACTATATTAACGCATCGTTTGTTGACGGATATCGATACAGATCGGCCTATATCGCAACCCAGGGTCCGTTACCGGATACCACAGATGATTTCTGGCGAATGCTATGGGAGCACAATTCCACTATCATTGTTATGCTAACCAAATTGAAAGAAATGGGCAGGGTAAGTTAAGGATATTTTTCTTAGTATTTCTGTTATGTATCCGTATATTATCTAACACTTAATTATATTTTTAGGAAAAATGCCACCAATATTGGCCATCTGACCGTTCTGTACGCTACCAATGCTTCGTGGTGGATCCCATCGCAGAATATAACATGCCTCAGTATATATTGAGGGAATTCAAGGTACCCTACAAATCTGTTCTTATTTATTTATTTACTTTTCCTTTACATACAAATAACATTCTAGAATGATATATTCTATGGTACAGGTAACAGATGCTCGCGATGGAGCATCCAGAACGGTTCGTCAGTTCCAATTTACCGACTGGCCCGAGCAAGGTGTACCGAAGAGTGGCGAAGGTTTCATCGATTTCTTGGGTCAAGTTCATAAAACAAAAGAACAGTTTGGGCAAGATGGACCCATTACTGTTCACTGCAGGTATAAATGTCTTTCCTTCTGAATTTTCTCATTTATGAAATCTTTTAATGAAAATATCAAGCTGTGATATTATCCTTTTATCCATTCATTTATGTCTGTTTCGTCAACTCGCATGCCGTTATTAAACATTTATTTTTAAGCGGCTTTTAAAGGAAAGAGATTTTCAATACGTACTATGTTGTATTTTTTTTTTCTTTAATATTTTTTACTATGTTATGATGGGATTACGTTGCCAATTCTGAAACTGATTTTTATAATTCTTTTGCAACTGATACAGTTTTGGTCAACTGATATACTTGATAATTTTTATTTACACAAAATTATAACTTTAAAATGCAATTTTTCTTCTAAAAAACCTACATTCTTTCTATAAAAATTTTCTCTTGTAAGTCACAGCTAAATTTATATTTCGAAATGTATGGAAGAATGATAAAAAGATTGCTATTTAAAAATATTTATAATTAAGATTACTTAAATAAAATAATCTATTTCCAGTGGTTTTCCAATTGGTATCTTTTAAGACATGTGGAGCAACAAAATACTCGAAATAGTTAGAAATAACTTTATATTAATAAGAAATTTAATAAAATTTACAGAACGAGTTCATTCGTACAAACTTCTAGTTTTATAAGTCATTTTGACAACGAATAGAAGAATAAAAACAGTACAATGCTTATTACAAGTTTTAAGTCCATCAAAAACAATGTTTGATGTTGACATTTCTCTTTTGTCAGGCTTTAACAATTAGCTATCCTTCCTTCTCTATACAAGTAACAAACAAAGAATGAGTTCTTTCTCATGAAACGGAATAGCGGGCACTGTTCTGTTAACTTTTGTTACGATTTAATTTTTTTTCTTTTTAATAAAATATTTAATTAATAATAATAAATAAATACTATTGAACAAATATCACAACGCCATTTAGTCCCAAACTAAGCACTATCAATACAAACAATCATACTCATGAATACAAATATTTGTGCGGGAATCGAATCTGTGACCATCGAAAGGTTTGGCGGTGTATTAAAGCTAACCCACCAAATCATAATTGTTATGGTATCACAACAGTGCGGGTGTGGGCCGCACGGGTGTGTTCATCACGCTGTCGACGGTGCTGGAGCGCATGCAGTACGAGGGCGTCGTCGACGTGTTCCAGACTGTCCGCACGCTGCGTACGCAGCGCCCCGCCATGGTGCAAACTGAGGTACACATTTTGTGAATACACTTCATTTGTTTATGTAATATCTTGCTTAAATCTTTAATTATCGGTTCTAGATTTTTGACTGATTGGCTTTGTACTTGTTGTTCGTGAAGCCCGATTCAAATCGGCACTTTTATATTAAATTTAGTGTTTTAAATATTTCTGACTATGATAAGTAATTATTAACTTTTGTTCTACATTCTGCCTCTGTTTCATTGCTTTTCGTATTCGTGTAGTCAATTAAATATACAAGAAAAACATTGTCTCAAAAGGTTGTTTGTCGAATAAATCCGACACGATTGATATAGGCACAATAATGTTTTTCAAATAAATCCAACTGGGGCAGTTAAAAGGTAATATAATTTTATACCAGCTTCCTGAGACAGTCGCAATATAATTTAATTTTTGTGCATTTGTAAGATGGTCTTGTCCAAGAGGCCCGTTAACACAAACAAATAAACTATTTGTTGATACATTTACTCTATTAGGCACGCATAAGAAAGAGCAAGATACTGACTATAGCTACCTCGTTCTATCTCATGCAACCAATAGCGTAAACCTATATGCATATAAATTGGAAAATAAATAAATATTTCTAATTTGTCACCGTCAAATCATGTAATCTACAAAAGATGGAAGATACAAAAATCATTATCTAAAGAAATTATAATGTAACATTCATATGCAAGTGTAAAAAAAATTTCAAATATACTTGTGTATTTCAATCGACACTGGATGCTTATAAGTTGCTAGTCAAGTTTTTTGTACATCAATTTTACATTCATAACAGGACCAGTACGACTTCTGCTACCGCGCGGCGCTGGAGTACCTTGGATCGTTCGACCACTACGCCAACTGACGCTGAGACATGCTCGTCTAACAACGGAACACTGATCACGCTTCACCTTATTATGTACTTAACTTTCCCGCCAAAAATATTCTTTATACGTTTGACGTATCAGCAAACGAGCATTGACGTATTAAATCTATTTTTTTAATTGATCTCATTTACATTACAAAATCTATTTGCAATAAATTTTAAATATTATGTTAAAAATGTCTAAATAATAATGTTTTGTTTATATGTAAATAAAGAAAATCATCAAATCATTTCGTCTATTTGCTCATTTGCTGATATGCTCTAAAATAACTAAGGAATTCGTTTCCAAAAAAAAATATTCCGAGCTAGAATAATAAGAAGATTAATTAGCCATCCATTTCTGTAAATTAATGGTGTTTTAGTCGTGTTTATTTTCAATCGACCCACGACACTGGCCAACTTAGAACTCCATTATTATTCCTGTACCGTTGTCATCGTTGCTTTTATTATCTGTGTCCTTTGAACTTGACAAGTGACAGAGTTCCACAACACTAGCCCGTAGTGTTGTTCCCACGACACCGACTGATTGTACTCATCTCGTTCACTTAAATTGTATACCTAATGAGGCTAACATGTATGAGTGCCTAGGAAAGCTACTTATGATGTATATTTACGTATGTGACCACTATTAAAACATGATTGTGAGTCGGAAGGGTAATAACTATAATTAATTATTATCCTATACTTATGATAGACCTAAACGCAGCTGTTCGTGCTATTTTTATCTCTTAAATGGAACAGTCTATAGTCCATATAACAGTTGAAACATAATTAGAAATATATTAACAACACTTACGATGTATTTAAAGATCGGTGTACCTACTGTTACGCGTAAAAATTATAATTTGCAATTTAAAGTTAAATTAGTAAAAGAAACAGTGCGCTTAGAGAGTTAAATAAATTTACGCGATATATTCAATTCTGATCGTCACATATATACAGACATGATATTTAAAATGTATAAATAGTTATTGCAGCTGTAATTAGAAGTTTATTTTTCATATCGGGTGTTAAAATATATTACTAAGTAGTGTAAATTGTGGTAACTCGTTTCATTATTGCAATACATTATTATAATAACTCTTTAGACGAATCGGCTGTGTCATGTGAATTTTTGTGTCAGTCCTGTGCGTAGAACACAATATGTAAATAGTGTTATGAATTCTTTTTTTTTTTTTGCTTTATTTTTAATTCTTGCCTCATGTATGTAACTCTGGCTGCTAAAATTATGTTTTTAAACCTATAAGCTGTTTATGATCTTTTTCTTATTATTATTATTTTTTATAGTAGTTCTCTATAATTGCTTGCTTTTAGAAAATCGTGATTTGATGACATATCTATTTGTAGGTAGAAAAAAATGTTTTTGTCGATGTGGTAAGGTTTGAACATGTTAAGTAAATGGAATGTGACTCGAACTTTTGAATACTTAATAGGTAATTAACGTCTGAATAAAAATTAAAAGTTGTGAATAATAAAGGATATGTAACAAATATTGTAAACGATATTATGCTCCAAGGGAATGTATTATTTTAAGCTTTTTTGGCGTTATCGTGTACATGAACAATACTGTCTTAATTTATCCAAGATACGTAAGGACCTTTAATTATTCCAAAAGTATATAACTCTTGCGACTCTATCACCACTATATTAAGCTATCTTTAAGTCTAGGACGTTGTTTAATATTTTACAGTAATCCCTTTGCCTAGTATCGTATAAGATTTTTAGGTTTTTCACTCGTTTTATACAATATACCTACTACTTGTATCGATCTACCTATGTATAAGTTAAATTTGAGCTTGTATGTATGTAACATAGGTAATAAAATGCGATAAAAGCGCGGTCTTCGAACGTAATACGTAGTTGCGTGGACATTTTAAAATGAGAACATTTCTAAAAATAATAAAACGTTAACTAAATACGTCTCGATTTGGCCGCTTAATTCGGCCGGTCGTTCGTAACTGCCAATCGTTTCACTTAGATATAATTGAAGTAAATTATAAAACAATAAAATACGAAACGTACGTAGAATTAATGAGAATAATTGTTAAATTGAGGTTATAGTGAAAATTTAATAATCGTTGATGAATCATGTATTTAGCTGGGCTCGGAGTATTTACACGCCGATAGTGTGGGCAATCCTATTCCTTTGCCTAATGCAGAGCTAAAAAACTTATAATACCTATTGGCACGTTTTGCTTAACATAATTTTATAAGTAATTGTCTAGCCTCATTTTATTGTATATTCATTCCTTTTACTGTTTATATTAAGTTGTATTGTATTTATATGTAAGTAATTATCTTCTATTTTCACATTATGTGTTAATCCATCAAGAAACAATCCATAACGCACACATCATCAATCATGTCTACCAGATTTTTCAGAGTCACACATCATCAATCATAACACCTAAGTCCTCAGGAATGGCAACGCATTCTACAAATTGTGACAAGGCATGAACAATATTACTCTGCCTGTAGTCAATTGTATGTAATAATAAATAGCCATATTTTAATTGCAATAATCGTTTAAATAATAATTCATGCCATTTTACGGTGCTGTTATCCATTGTAGTACAAAATGTATTTGCCATTTCGTAAAATTCCATTAATCATCTGATTGAATGATTATGTATGTACAGTCGAATTAATGTGTTTAAATTATATGAAATTTGAAATATACTCATTTAGTGTTGTTAATATTAACACTTAAATTCGATTATACATATAACGACCAAGATAAGAATAAAACTTTCCGCCATATTGTGATATGCCTTAATTTTGACAGCTGTCAAAATAAGAGTATCTATATTCCGCTCTCCTATTTTCACCGTGTTACGCAAACACGCGTACGTAATATGCAATACACGGTTTAAAATCCTTTTTTCCGCGTATTGCATGTTATTTTATTTTCACGAGGTTTTGAAATAGTTTTCATGAGTCATAAAATAGCAGTTAAATTATTAAAACAAAATTCAAGCGTTACTTTACCAGGTCAAGGTCATTGACTATTGACTATTCTTATTTCAATTACATCGTACATTTCATATCGATTTCAATCTTTGTTGTAGTACAGTAAGATTCATATTCATGTGTTCATCAATTTTCATAACAAGCCATACATAGTTCATTTTATACTTTCGCGTTGTTTATATATATTTTAAATACACTGTCGGGACTTATTGTCGAAGTTGAAACGTCGACAATAAAGATGCAGCTATATAGGTACTATTTACCTGTAAAAAATCTCATCGCATACCAATAGCTATCCCGATTATGTATTTAAAATAAGCCATACATAATTTTAACAAATCATTGCTCGTTACGTTTGTTACGTAAAAGACTGATTTAGTATTTCTGTTTTGTTGTTTATTTTGTATGATTGTGATTGATAAATTTTATATTGTAATAGTCTTAAATATTGCCCATCAAATTAATTATGTATCAATTGTATTATAATTAATGCTTTAGATATATTTTATTACTTTATGGCTTATTTCCGTTTAGGTGACTCGTTTTATAAATAAATTAATTAATTAATAATTTATTGAGGTTTTCTCTAATTATGTAATTAATGTTTTAAATTTACCAGCTATTATACAAATGTAATATCCACTTACACATACAATTTAATGCAATTCTATAATCTTATATGATTTATTGAAACATTCCAAAATGGAAATGAGCCAAAATATATTTTCTTATATTCGCAGTAAACAGTACAAAATTTGTACACTTTCTACAATTTCTTTGTATCCACTTGCCATTCCGTGTATAATTAATTTGCTATGATATAAGGGGGCTCTGAGACGATCTTGGCGCCTTAGCTTTAAATACTATTAATTATTTTAGTGCAATTAATATGGCGTACGCAATACGGCCGGCGGGACGGAGTGTGAATGTAATGTAGGAATTTGTAGACGATTATTTTTTAATAAATCCCGCGCTGCGTCTCGGGACACAGTGGATTCGCAAAATTATACATATGTATATGAAGAAATAAATTTATGTGAGACCATAATTACCTTGTTGTTTTGAAAAATTCCTTCAAAAGCGATTCCTCCAGAATTCTATTCTATTTCATTGGCTAATTTAAGGTAAATAAATAAAATGATAATTTTGTAAGTAGATATTCGAGATTTAAAAAGAACATTCGATAAAAAACAAATATATTATTATTTCCTCACTATATCCACTCTACATGTACTATCATATACTAGGTTTTACCTGCGATTTTGTTCACGCGACCAAAATATTTTTTTATCAAACTTAGAATGGCAAACAAGCTGACGGCCCACCTGACGGAAAGCGGTAACCGTCGCCTATAGATATGAACAGTACCATGGACATAACAGAGTATATTGTTTCGCCCATGATACTCCCCATGCGTTGTCATTTCTGAGGATTCCGGTGTTATTCCTCTATACCCTATAAATTGCCACCATCACTACCATATCCTATCCTTCAAACCGAAACACAGGCATGCAAACACAACTGTCGAGGTGGCCAAACAAATGACTTTTGTACAAAGTCTCCCTCGATGTCAATTGATCATAAAATTGAATAAAAAATACCCGATGTCCTTCTAAAAGCCAAAAGGTATCAAACGAACTGTAATATTTATAATATCACCTACTCGTATTACCCCAATATATTAATAATAAATATGCCTAACCTATAGAAGAATTTATTAATGATGGTGCCTAAATATTATGTCCTCCGCAAATTGGCTCAATGAATACGTATTGCGGACCGTTAATTATAATATCCCAGGAACCTGTCCCGTGAGATTGTCCCGGCATTGTGACCGGCAGGCCGACAGTTCGTCCGAGAGGTACTACCCATGGAAACGTCTTGAATCTACTATTATTACTACTCGAATAAGAGTATATTCAATCGACTTCAAAAAGAAGAAGGTTCTCGATTTTTTTTGCATTTTTTATTTTGTATTTGTTACCTCATAATTCTATCACATATAAACCGATTTTGAGAATTCAAATTAGTCCTATAGAAATTTTAACTAAATCGCTTCAATAGTTTAATTTTAAAAAAGTAACTGGATTTGCAACAATTGAAATTCGTTTTTTTTTTAGAACACAATCTTAAATTAATACTACCCGTGGAAATCTATATATCTTATACCATACCATCTACATCTCTATGTGCCCCATTTTTGTACCTGTCGTGTAACAGCTTTGCATGGTTGTGTTTCGGTTTGAAGAATAGGACATGATAATGAAATTACAAAATACGTATGCATAACATCTTAGTCCTTAGGTATGACAATTCGTAAAAAATTGGTATTATGAGCATCACAGTATACTATGTGATGTCGTCTAGTACTTCTCATATATATAGGCGACGGTTACCAATTTTCTACAAGTAGGTCGTTAGCTTGTTTTCTTTAAATAAATGACGACCATTTTTGAAGATCCAAATATTACGTAATAGAAAATTCAGAAGTATAAGATAAGATTTGATCTTGAAATTCCCGGACCATAGTTGTATTGTAAGCTAGTACCTCGCATACTTTACTAAAAAGAAAATTAAAACAGTTTAAAATAGAGGAGAAAGATGCCACCTCAAAGATAGCAACAGAAATGACTATAAAAAGACACACACTACATATGTAAGACAACATTTGTCTGCCTGAACGTCGTGACCCTAAGATACTCAAAATATGTTTAATAAATAAGACAGTCTGTACGAAATATATTTTAATATTTTTTATCAGGTCGACGGCCATTTTTGTTTTTTATTTAAATATCTTTTTTTTAAGGGCTTTTACCTTCTTCTCTTAGGCTCTATCGTACCCTGAACTGAATTTGTAAATTTGTCAATATTTTTATTTTTGTGTATGTGTCGCGATAGCGATGTTCACTAATTCTGAACCTATTCTGATCATTATTTTGTAGATGACAGGGATGATGACTCACAATGATCCTATAATGTTAGAATTCAAATCGCCGTTTTAATAATAACTATGTTTATTAAATGTAATTTACATTTAGTTAGATCTACTAGGCATTGAACTAGGCCGAGCCTGTATCTCAATGGAAAGAAGAAAGAAAAGAAAGAAACTTTATTCTACAGAAATATGCGATTACACCCATACTGGGGTTAACAACGTAACTACACACAATATATATATATATAATATATATATATATAAAACTATTTTCGTATATATATATATATATATATATATATATATATATATATATATATATATATAAAAATAACAATGGATAGTTAAATAACTTTCATTAACTTAAATATTTATAAAAGACATTACAATATCGAATATACACACACTCAAATGTGCAATGTTTAAGATACTTTTAATGCAACATAGTTAAATGTGGGTAGCATCAAATTACCTCTGTTTTATTAAATCTACTTGCTTACTAAATAAAGTTTCAATGTCTGCAACTGTGACATGCCTACGTATTAAGTACACAATGGTGCCAGAACTGTTAATTCCTGTCTAACTCGATAATATTATTACACAATACAAACCAGCATCGGTAATCCAGTGGAACTATATCTTCGTTAGTCCATTGTCTTGAATATTGAAGCCTGAGACATCTCGAGCCTTTGAGTTCCAGCCCAATATGGAGTTCCCACTGATAACTTGAGTCAGCGGAATCGGAATATGAATTGGAATTTAGTACTATGGATGAGACGGGGTGTTTGCATATCAATGAATAGGCCAATGAAGCAGACTGATAGCTACGATCAGCGTTTCTCAACCGGGAGGTCGTGATGTATGAATGAATGAAAACTCTTTATTGTTCCCCTCAAAGAACTATACGGTTCCTTAAAAGTAATAAGTAAGTAAGTAGCACAAGAGGCAACAATGGATGGCGTTATCGCTAAACAGCGATCTCTTCCTTTTAATCCGCTCTTCAAAACAACCTTCGGATGGAGAGGAATAAGGAAAACGGGTGGGGGCACATGACCTTTTATTTGGACAAAGAAAGCTGATTTATTTTTTAAATCAAATCACCAAGTCGCTAGTTATTTTATTGACCCATTATTCTATATTCAATTATCGATCGGATGACGTCTTCTCCGAATGTCCCTAATTTATTTTCGATACCTAGTTAGATTAGTTACCGAAAAAAGCAACGAAATGGCACAGAAGCTCTTTTTTACTGTACAGAAAGTCTGTAAAGAAGTTTACAAACATAATTAAAGACAAGCTTGCTTCTACGAGTAGGTACTTATTTAAAGAACATATATAAAACAAAGCAACCACTCATTCTGTATTCTAAAGACAAATGCTTCATTTAAATACGTACATTAATTACTTATACTAACCTAAACCACTAAGTAGGAGGGAGAAGGGATTGTTAGTAATGA